CTTTTTTTCCTTTCCTTTTTTTCCTTTCCTTTTTTTTTTTTTGTTAACTTATTAAATATTTATTAAAATGATCCGACACACAAACGTTTTAAGTTTGATTTCAATTTTCTTCAAAAGATAAATGATATTTGATATTTACTTGAGTGTACAGCAACAACAACAACAACATCAACAACATAAAAACTTTATACTTAGCTAAAATGTTTTCTGCTTTCCCCCCCCCCCTCTTCCTTTCTCTCTCTCTTTTTCGGATTAAAGTTATAAATTTTAGCATTTTATTTTATTTTTTTTTTTTGTTTTAAAATTTACGACCATCACCTGACTTGTAGGATTGTAATAATTATTTATGTATAAAAGTGTCGGCCACCAATAATCAACGCATAATTTTTTCCATTGTGACGTCGTCTGCAACCAAAGAGGACCGCTACCTATTAGAACGTACCACGTGGTATACATCAGGACGACGGCTCCCAAAACCGGAGTCAATCTAAAACCCAATATCACCATCACCATCATCATAATCATCGTTCAAATATTATTATTATCATTATTATTAACGAACTCTGACCTGAGGTATCTGTGCAAGTAATACGTCACTATTGAAAATTTTTTCGTTTTGTCTAAAATTTTTAATAAATGATAACAATTGAGAAGACCGCTTAAAAGGAAAAACGTGTCCACCGAAAGAACTCCTTGTATTATTATTTGAGTGTATATTTCATCCACTTCCTGTTAAAAATAAAATTTTTTGAATTAAAACACATTACTCTTTTATTGATGATAATGATGATGATAATAATAATAATAATTAGCGTACTTTGATAAAATCGTTAAAATTAATAGGAGATGAAAACAATGTAAAATAAAATCTGTGTCCTAATATGACCCAACAAATACTTAAAAATCTCAAACCGTGAAGTGGTGTCATCGTGTCAGGTCTAGTTTCGGTACTTAACAATTTATTAAAGTTGGTGTATAGCGAAAAGGATGTCAAAACGGGATCTGAAATGTGTTATACTCGATAAGCAATACGATTCATAACAAGAAAAAAATCGATTATTATTATTATTGTTATTATTACTCGGTATTTTGGAACGTGTTTTCGCGAAAACGTCGTAGGCAGTGCTCAGAAGTGCGAGACAGATGAAAATTCCCCATATCGATCTAAAAAAAAGTAAGAAAATAATAATGCGAATGATGGGGGTGTTGGGGATGTGGGGGACCGACGGGATTTTTAAGGACTATACTTACTTACATTCCGACATAATCTCGCGTTTCCATCGATGGTTTTTCAATCGTCGTGCAATCATCATCACCGACGGTCACATTTAAATTTGTTTCCGATAATAATTTCCGAATGAAATTTTCTATTTGTTTCGGCGAACATGATTTGGGTAAACAATACGATAATTTAATAGATGGTAATAATAATAATAATGAATTTTGTTCGTCGGATTGTTTAAAATTGACGAAACAATGTTGGGTCGGAACAACGGTCGTTTCGTTCGTAGGTACGTCGAAGCATTCATCGTAATTTCCAAAATCTGTCACGTGTCCTTTTAAAATCCCCGATGGAAATTTACTGGATGCATCGACGACTATAAAAAAAAAAAAAAAAAAAAAAAAAAAAACAATCAGACTTCAGCTTTATTATTATTATTATTAAAATTTTTTTAGGTACAAACTTTTTATTGCCCAAATTTCATTGTTTCTCAAACCCTGAATTATCCTGTCGACATCTTTTTGACATTGCGTGACAATAACATCATCTCCGATTGAAAACTTATTGTCTATCACCACGTCGGCATTTAAAAAATTTACAAGAAGTAACGATATGAATGCTACCGCACTCACAAACATTTTCGTCGGCTTAAAATGAAAAAATGGTAATGATAATAATAGTAATAACTTTTTTCATAAAACATTTACAAACATTAACACACACATTTCACGTTCTCTTTGTCACTCTCACTTTTGTTTCGATTAAAACACGAGATTTAAAATCATATCAATGACCGAAATGATAAGAAGGTAAAAAAAAAGGCTACCATTTTTTTTTTTTTATATACTATTAAGTAAGTGTGACATCCGCTCACGTAATAAAATAATAATAATAATAATAATAAGATTGACGGTTAAATAAATATTTAATCATACTTTATTTAACAACATTCATCATGTTTCTTTTCTTCTTTTGTTTTCATTTATGAAAGTTACTACCACTACTACTACTACTTACGAGTAGGTGTACAATCGAATCGGAGTCAAACCCCTACAAACAAACAAAAAATGATCGAACGAACATACAATCGGTTGTTGGTAAACGACAAAAACAAACTGCTCTGTAAGAAATCTGAAAAATAAAAAAATTTTCACGTAATCTCTTTTTGGTTTTTTTTTTTTTTCACGAAAGGATTTTGAAACCGTTTAATCATTATTATTATTATCATTTATATTAAAATTTTTTTAATAAGAGAAATAACCCCCCCAAAAAAAATAATTATAATAATAATAAGTATGCGTTTGAAAAAAAGTTCAATGACTGATATCGATTTCATAATTTTAAAAAAATGGCAACTCAAGTATTTTTTGATAAAAAAAAAAAAAATTTATGTCGCGTAAAAAAAAAAAATAAGTGAAAAATAAACGGCAAAAATGGTGCCAACGTAACAAAAAAAAAAAAACTAAAATAAAATAAAATAACGGATATCCGACAAATAAACAATTCATCATCGCGTCTCGCTGATTTGAAAAAAAAAAAAAAAAAAAAAAAAAACAATTTACCGGTTTTATCTTTTTTTTTGTATTTACTCTCTTTTATCACCATCATCATCATCATCATTATCATCACCATCATCATCATCATTATCATCACCATCATCATCATTATTATTATTATTATCGTTATTAATTTTTATTTTTTATTCAAAAAAAATGCATTAATAAAAAAAAACTTTTCGAAAAAAAGGTCAAAAATTTTTTCTTTTTTTTTGGGGGGGGGATTTAATACTTTTTTTTTTATTTATCGTCGTCGTCGTTGTTGTTGTTGTTATTGTTGTAGTTTTTTGTTGTTGTTGTTGTTGTTGAAAAATTCAATTGTGTGATTGAAAATTTTGATGTGGTAAAAAATAAAAAAAAAAATTTATTTATATATTTATATTAAAAAAAAAAAAGTAAGTGTGGAAAAATCAAAAACAAGAACAACAAAGTCTCTCTCTCTCTCTCTCTCTCTCTCTCGCTGTCTCTTTCTGTCTGACAAGTTTTTTTAAAAAAAAATGTTTTCAAACATAACAAAAGAAAATTTTGACAGGCGTACAAAAAAAAATTTATTAATAAAATTTTATTTTTTAAAATAAAAAATAAAATGAAAGAGAAAAAAGATGATTTTTATATTTTTTCTAGAAGAAAAACTAAAAGGAAAAGTAAATCGTCAAAGGGAAAACGTTGTAAAACACTAAATAATAATAATAATAATATTTCATGAAGGTGTAAAAAAAATGGAAAAAAAAACGAGGGGTTTTTTTTGCCTCCAAAGTAATAAAAAAAAAAAAAAAAAAAAACTTATGCGAATATATGTATATTAAACGTTTGACCTTTTTCCTTTTTCATCGAACCTTTAAATAAAAAAAATTTATATTTCAAAGTTTTTAAAACTTAAATTAACTACTTACTACCTTGAGAGTAATTTTTTTTTTTATTATTTTTTTTTTTATTACCTCCCCCCCCCCGTACGTCTTGAAGAAAAAAATTTTTTTCAATAACTTTAAAATGTATTTTTTTTTTTAAAAAATTTAAAAAAAAAAAAAAATTCAATCGTCGTCGTCGTCGTCATCGGCGTCGATTTTCACAAAAAAAAAAAAAATAATAAAATTTTCTTTTTTTTTTTTTTTTTTTCGACAAACAACTTTCAATGCGTTCGTGTATAAAAATTTGCATAACTCAATTATTTTTAAGGCGTAAAAAAATTTTTTAAAATTATTAAATTTTATTTAAAAAAATTAATTTTTTTTCCTCACAAATATTTATATATTATTAACATTTCTTACGTAATAAAGAAAAAGTTTATTATTAATACTTTTATAATAATAATAATAATAATAATAATAATCATCATCATCATCATCACTATAATCTTAACTGAATTTATAATATTATACAAAAAATAAACGTTTGTTTGTTTGTTTGTTTGTTTAATTTTTTATATTGTATAACTGTTTTTTTTTTAAATGTCAATATTCAAATCCAGAATTTAACCTTATTTTCATGGAAAATAAACGTGAATTTTTTTTTTCTTATGATAATATTATGCTTATTCGGACTTTGGAACTTATTATTATTATTATCATCGATATTAATTTGTTTGACGTCACACCTACGACCTCGAAAAAGAAAAAAAAAAACAAATGCCACCGAACTCGGTTATTTGCCACGGCCTAATAAGAAAATAATTGGTTTAATTATTTGCAATAATAATTTTTGTGACGAACGAAAATATTTGGGAAAAAGAAAGAAAAACTAATAATAATAATAATAATAAAAACCCGTAATTATTTTCTTGGATCAAAAACTAAAATCGATAAATTAATAATACGTAGAAAACGAAAAATCGATTGATCGATTTACAATTATTAAAAACGAATAAACAATAAAAACAAAACGACGCGAATAAAATCAAATCAAAAAACTAGAAACTAAAAAACTAAAACTTAAATAATATTAATAATAATAATAATAATGATGATGTCGTTGACGGTGTGACAATGACTACGATAATGATTATTTTAATTCATTAAACATTCTAAACTTTTTTTTTATTCTTCACTTTTCATCCTCCTCCATCTTTTCTTTTTTTTTTACTTTACATTTTAAAAAAAATTATATAATTTCCCTTATTTTATAATTGTCATTATTATCATTCATTATTATTTAAAAAAACAAAAATTGTTTAAAATATTATTATTATTTATTGATTTTTTTTATTATTATTTACTTACCTTTCATTGAATGCTCGTAAACAAAAAAAACATTAAATTTGTTTTAAAGATAAAATTGAAATTTTTTTTTAATTTATATATGTGTAGTATTTTAGTTAGAAGTCTATAATATAATCTTATAGATGAATGGAGGGGAGAGGACACATGTGATTTTCTTGTTGCACGGCCTTCATAAAAGCTTTTTTTTTTTTTTAATAATTAATTTCAATTAAATAAATATAATAACTTCTTCGATTTTATTAGATTTTGTTTCTTTTTGTCGCTTGAAAAAAAAATTTTTTGTTCCGCGTAAACCTTTTTTTTTTAAACAATCCTTTTTATTAATGATTATTATCATTATTAATTATTACGCAATTAAACTTTCTGCGTACGACTATAACAACGAAACATCGATCTCGTTAAATAATATCACATAATGGCAGCTTATCAATCTAGGCGGCCTTCTCGATCATGCCTAATTTAAATATAGGTTAACAGGTATTATAGGTTAACATCCCCTCTCAGTTACTCATAATAAACAAAATTAATAATGACGATAATAATAATAATGATATCATCAACTCACGTGTTCAGAGAAAAAATTTGCAAAATAAATAAAACAAAAAAAAGTTTAAAAAGAGACATCTATTGAAATTTTCATTAACTAAAGTATTCAAAAACAAAAAAATTAAAACCTTAAAAATCCCGATCGACTGCCATCTATGTGAATAAAATATAATTAAAAAAGATGAAAGCATACCTGTTTACATAAGTAGTTATTAATTTAAACGATAGATGACGTAACCGTCAATGTTTATTTACAAGAGGGTTTTCTTTTTTTTTTGTCAAAACGTATCTGGAATTTTTTTATTTTATTTTCAAAATTAAAATAAAGCCCCCCCCACCCATTTCCTTCAGGGCATTTTCATTGTGGAGGATTCTTCACTCTCTCTCTCTCTTTTTTTAATTAATAATTTTTTAACAGTGTGAAAGAAAATGGGAAAAAAATTAAAATTTTTTTGAGTGATTAATTATCACAAATAACAACAACAGCAACGTTGACAAATTATTCAAGTGAAAAGATGACGTAATAAAAAATTCTTTTGTTCAAACGTAAGAAAATTCCGACAGATATTTTCCAATTTTTTTTTTTTTAAAACCGTAAGAAAACCTTAATTTCTTTGTCTTTTTCTCCTCTTATTAAAAAAAAAATTCATTCAGTGATGCCAACTTAATATAAATTTACATAAATAAATTTTTTTTTTTCGTAAGAATTCATTCGTTCACACGAGAATGAATCCATTCATTTTACAAACGTTGTTTTATTATTATTATTATTATTATTATTGTTATAATAAATATAACTTATAAATATAACGTTGTTTTATTATTTGTTATAATATATTGTTATAATAATAATAATAATAAATATTTTCCAAGTGAAAATTTTTTTTCCTATTTTTCTTTCCATCCCTTATTAATTCATTCTTCTTTTATATTATTTAGGGGTTGTTTCATAAATATTGACCTTTGAATTGAGGGATGGAAAAAATTTTTTTAGGGTAAAATATTTGAAGGAAAAAAAGAAAAAAGGACGAAACGATTTCACGACAATTATAAAAAAAAAAAAACTTTTCCAGATTTTCAATAAAGAAAATGTTATTATTATTATTATTATTATCGACCAATTTTTTATTGCATCGCTGATAATAACTGATAAAAATGATAAGAATAAAAAATTTCCTTTTTTTTCTTTTCTTTTTCTTTTTAATTTTTTTGATGAAAAAAAAAATTTCAAATTTTTTTTTTTTGTAATTTAAACGGAAAATATTTTTCTTAGATTTTTGGATTTCCGGTAACTGTTTCCGGTTTTTACAAAGTCAAAGTTTTTTGTTAATGCATGACTTAACATGTCAAAAGTTTTTTTTTTTTTTGCTTTTCCGATGGAATCGGAAAATAAAAATTAGATTTTTTTTCTTTAAAAAATTTTTTTTTCTGTTCTGTTTGTAGTTTGTATTTTTTTCGTTTGTTTTTTGGTTGTTGTAACAAACAAACTCTTTTAATTTCTTTTTTAAATGCGTTCACGTGCGTTCGTAACACGTAAATAATTATTTTATTATAATAAAAAAAAATTTAATTCGATAACGGAAGTTATCGTTCGAATTTGTAATTTAATTTTTTCTTTTTCCAACGGAAAAATTTTTTAAATTTTCAAAAGGGAAATGACGTCATACAATTAAATAATTAATACTCGTACGTCGATCGTTTATTACTCGATAATTATTATTATTATTATTACGTGGTGATAATTTCCGTGTGATGAAAAAAAAAAAAATTAATTTTCTTTGTTCGAATGTAAATCTTTGACGATTTCTTTTTTTCAATTATTATCATTATCATTTTACTTTTATTATAATTGAAAAATATGATACAAAAGTTTTGTTTTTCTTTTTCTTTCTTTCTTTCTCTCTTTCATTCTTCATCGCAATTGTAAAATAAAAGAAAAAACGAAACGACGAACGACAGCAATAAAACAAATCAAAATGGAAGAAAAAATAAAATAAAATAAAAATAAATTTTTTTTTTCTTCCTTTTTCTTTTCCTTTTTTGTTTTGAGATGTAAAACTTCAAAAAAAAAAAAATAATAAAGTTTGACATCAAAAAAAAAAAAAAAAAAAACCAGAAGACTATGGTTTTATTAGCACTCGACCAACCGGAAACGAAATTTCTTTTTCCTTTTGTCTTTTACTTTAAAAACTATTTCAATTTTTATTATTATTATTCTTTTGTTTCGTTTCTCCTTATTTCATTTTCTTTTATTATTATTATTATTTTTTCATTTTTTTTTTTTTTTACGTTTAATCTTAAAAAATAAAATAAAGGAGAATGAATATGTTTAAAAAATTATAGGATG